GGCCTTCCATCGGGGATCTTAAAAGTCTGTCATATCATTTGGAGCAGTGTGTCTAGGCTGAGAGAGTATCCCTCTGTATGGAGAGGGCTCCCAAAGTCTATTTGTGTACTAGGGGTAAATACTGATCCACTACCAGTGACCCCATAGACTGTCCAGACCTCCAAATTGACCTCCTCGTTCAGGGGGTCTGGAACAGTCCTATGCTGGTTCCCCAGCTATCAGTCTGGGGTCCATGAGCAACCTCTTGTTTAGGTCAGCTGTTTCTGTGGGTTTCACCAGCCTGGTCTTGACCCCTTTGCTCTTCACTCCTCCCTCTCTGCAACTGAATTCCAGTTCAGTTCAGTGTTTAGCTGTGGGTGTCTGCTTCTGCTTCCCTAAGCTACTGGATGAAGGCTCTAGGATGGCATATAAGGTAATCTTCAATCTCATTATCAGAGAAGGGCATTTAAGGTAGCCTCTGAACTATTGCTTAGATTGTTAGTTGGGATCAACCTTGTAGATCTCTGGACATTTCCCTAGTGCCAGAATTCTCTTTAAACCTATAATGGCTCTCTCTATTATGGTGTCTCTTTTCTTGCTCTCCTCTATTCTTCCCGACTCAATCGTCCTGCTCCCTCATGTCCTCCTCTCCCCTCTACTTCTCCCCCGCTCTTTCTTCTGAATCCCTCTCCCCTCCCCCCATGCTCCCAATTAGCTTAGATCTTGTCCCTTTCCCCTTCTCCAGGGGACCATGTATGTTTCTCTTAGGGTCCTCCTAGCTTCTCTGGCGATGTGGATTGTAAGCTGCTACTTCTTTGCTCTAGATCTAAAATCCATATATGAGTACATACCATTATTGTCAACACAAGAACAAATTTAAGAGAAGAAAAATTGGTTGGTTGTTTTGGAGACAGGGTCTCATGTAGCCCAATTTGACCTTGAACTCATCGTGTAGCTAAGAATGACTTTAAACTTGAGATCCTCCTGTCTCTACCTCAAGTATTTTGAGATTACAGGCATGCAGTATCTTGCCCAGTTTTATGTGGTGCTGGGAATTGAACCCAGAGCCTTGTGCATGTTAAGCAATCACTCTACAACCAAGCTACACCTTTTAAGTTTGGTTTAGGGAAGGAAGTACAACAGCAATATGGGTTATTAATGAACAAGGGATGAATTTAATGACAAATATAATAGTCCTAACTATCTGTACCTTCAAAATATATAGACAAAAGCTGATGAATCTTAAAAAAAAAGTTGGAAAATTAATTTACTTCTTGAATCTTACAAATACAGTGTTATATACAAGATTTGAGCTTCCCTCTAGGGAACTATGTGTCTTATTTTTGAAAAACTCAGGAGCTGAGGATAGGCACATTTCAAGTACTCATGGGCAAGGCTAAAATAATCTGGGCCCTAGAACGAATTGAAGCCTCCAAAGATTGAAACAATGTTTATAACTCTTGTAGAATCAAGCTAGAAATCACTAGTGGAATGACAACTTCCAGATGTTTGGAGATTAAATGACACCATTCTAAACGACAAAAATAGAAGTCATTTTGTATCAAATGATGGTAAATATATGACAAGTATTATGGAGCTAGAATTCTAAAGCTAGAGCTGTGGGTAGAAAAAAGTGATAGTAGAGGGAGGAAATAATTGTTAAGCATCCCTAATTAACAGCTGTGCAGTGAACTTGTCAGGGAGACTTGGAGACTGATCCGACCAAGAAGGCTGTGGAACCAGACCCTCTTAATGAGGTCTGGGCATCTAGGACATGGATGGAAGGACATGAACTAGTGCCACCAGGGTCACTGCATCACACTTGAAAACATGTTGGCTTGTGGGGGGTACATGTTCTGGGACTGATGAGAGTTTTCAAGAATTAGGGGAGAGGTGCTGTGGTTCTGAAATGACAACAAATGAGAGGATGGTGGGTTTGTGCTGTTAGAGAAGCCACAGCTAGGTGGCTCAACCAATTTCACAGTCTTGGAGACTGAGAAGGAAATTTCAAGTAGACAGAGTCACTTCCTGGTCCTTTTTCTGGTTTTCTAAGGACTGTTTTCTCGCTAGAAACCCCCCCAACCCCAATATGGTAGAGAAAATATCCATATTAGAGAATATGAGTAATTACGAACAAAATTGTAAAAATACATCTACATTATGGTCCTTGTGATGATGTCAGGTAGAAATGAGGAACATGTAATAGACCATATAGAAAAGGGCATCTTAGCTCAACTGCTTGAAACTCCTGCCTCGTAAGAGAACAAGCATTTGCTGCTCCCAGGTTTAGAGGCTGAAAGCCCAAGGTTGGGTGGCCCCTGTCTGACTTCTGTTAAGGGTCTTGTCTTAATGTTCTATTGCTGTGACGAGATACCATGACCTGCTGTAGGAATTTAGCAGAGTCTTTGTGTCTAGGGTAGACATTAGAATGAATAGTTTTCATGGTATCCAGGGTAAACATTAGAGTGGACAGTTGTTTTCTAGAAGTGCTTTGACCTTAAAGAATCATTGTGTAAAGCTGTGATTGTCTTAAGAGATTTGTAGAATTGTTTTTCTGAAGGGTCGTTACAGCCTTTGTACAACTGGTCACAAAGATGCCTCTGGCACACCTGAGGCTCTTGGATTACTGTGTACTGCAAATGGTACACAATAAAAGACTAGAGTTGTGGCTGGAGAGATGGCTCAGCGGTTAAGAACACTGGCTTCTTTTCTAGAGGTCCTGAGTTCAAGACCCATCAATCAAATGGTGGCTCACAGCCATCTGTAATGAAATCTGGTGCCCTCTTCTGGCCTGCAGGCATTCATGAAGACAGGACACTATATATCATAAATAAATACATCTTACAAAAGAAAAAAAAGGACTAGAGTCATGAAGGCTCGTGATGCTTTCCTTTAGAGAAACACAGATTACATTAGGGAACCGTGGTATGAGGAAATAATATAAATCTGGAAATAAAGACTTCAAATACATTTCATTCTAATATGGTGCCAACATTTTGAGGGACAAAGCTTTGAGTGATAAAAGTTTTGTTTATTTTGTTTTGAAACAGTTTCTCTATGTACCTTGGTTGGCCTGTACTCACAAGTTAGCTCAGGGTAGTCTTGAACTTATTGTAATCCTCTTGACTCACCATAATGCTACCATATCAAATTTGAAACAGAATTTTAAATTGATTATGGGACATATTTGTCCATTAGTTTAAAATACTCAAGAGTCTTTCATTTTTGGAAGAGCAGTTCATTTGCTATTTGAACTACTGTGGTAGTTTGAATGTCATTGGCTCCCATAATCTCACAAGGAGTGGCAACATTAAGAGATGTGGCCTTGTTGGAGGAAACGTGTTACTGTGGAGGTGAACTTAGGGTCTCATATATGCTCAAGATACCGCCCAGTGTCTGAGTCGACTTCCTATTGCCTGCAAGATGTAGGACTCTCAGTTACATCTCCAGCACTACGTCTGCCTGCACACTGCCATGCTCCCCACCATGATGATAATGGACTGAACCTCTGAAGTGTAAGCCTGAATTAAATGATTTCCTTTATAAGAGTTGCTGTGGTCATGGTGTCTCTTCACAGCAACTGAAACCCCAAGACAGTTATTAACATTTTGAGGACGGGTGGTTGAGCCTAGCTTGCTGGGACTGCCAGAACCCAGGATTTTATCCAGAATTTTCTGGTTAAATGTATAGCCTAGAAAACAGCCAGGGAGGTGACAACTGCTAATTTCCCCATACAACGATGTGATAGTTTGAATGTAATTGGGAAGTGTGACCTTGTTGGAGTAGGTGTGATCTTTTTGGAGGAGGTGTATCACTGTGAGGGTAGAATTTGAGGTCTCTTTTGCTCAAGCTTCCCTCAGTGTGACTTTCAAATCATTTCCTGTTTCCTTCTGATCAAGATGTAGCCAGCACCATGTCTGCCTGCGTGCCACCATGCTCCCCACCATGGTGATACTAGACCGAACCTCTGAACTCTAAGGGAGCCACCTCAATGAAATGTTTTCCTTTTAAGAATTGCTGTGGTCATGGTGTCTTTTCACAGCAATAGAAACCCTAGTGAAGACGGAACTCAAAAACAAGATGCCCAGATTCACACCTTTCACTGATCACAGCTGGACAAACTTTGGTACCTGCTGCTCTTCATGGTTAACTATACGTCCTCTCCATGACCCCCATATATGTAATCTTCCCTACACTGCAGTTGTAGCTGCCTCAGAACTCTAGTCACACATGGAATGAAACAGCCTGTTTCTCAGTCCTGCCCCCACCACAAAAGCCCCATTATTGACTCTTACATTTACTTTTTGGACCAGAGATAGCATGATCTCATCACCTATGGCCTTAGGTGGATGAGGAAAGAAAGGGGCCACAACTGCCCCTTCATTAGAAACAGGGGAAGGTATCTCTTCTCTCCCCAGGAAAACCTTGACCATATGGCTGCTGTCTTTCCTCCCAAGGTTCCCTTGTCCACACACCTATGGGGTCTCTGAAATGTAGTTAAAATGGTTAAGGCTATTGAGTGCTAGGATTCTTACTTGTATTTCAGATATGAACTTTATTCTTGGATTAGCTTCAATCATTCGGGGGCTAAGAAACAAGCCCTGTCTATCAGAGGTAAAGGTAACAGACTTTGGCAGATCACAGCCCCCATTCCCCTACCACACTTACACACATAGAGCCAATGAAGAGAACAGAGTATTGAAAACAGAATTCTGTGCCAATCAAGGATTATATAATTGCTGGCTTCAAATTCCATTTAGTTTCCAGTCTCACATCCTGATAAACTAAGTAAATGTTTAGCCTTTCCTTCAGAGGGAATAGAAATAAGCCATAAAGTCACCAGCAACTCTGGGGTTCCAATCGCTACTAAAATATGCCAGATATAAGAAGCAAAGCTAAGATGCTCTCTCTCCCTGATGGTAGTTTGGCTCTCTCAATACTTCCACCCTTAAAATATAATTCAGGGGAAGGGGCAAGCCTTGGTCAGAAGCACACAATCATAAGGAAATGTAGACAAAGTATACTGAGATATTTTTTCCTTCCTTTATTTATAAAGGACACAACTCTGACATAGACAAAAATGTGAACACACTCCAAAGAGTCCATTAACAACAGTAACAACAAAATGGGAGAGCAGCAGGACCCAGTCTACAGCAGTCTGTGGCCCACACTGAGGGAACACTGGGAACAGTGCCTCTAACAGGCCATGTCACTGAAGTCACAGGAAACAAGCCTTGATCTGGAGAACACAGGAGCTCCCACAAGGCCAAAAAGTGACACGTTTAATCTTCAGCATCATCAAATTGTCCTGTTTCAAAGACCATCTTAGAATAATGCGGTATCAGTGGCGGTGGATGGTGCCAACTGGGGTCATACATCATGTCTCCTTGTGGGGCACAGCACACCCAAGGTTTAATCTCCTGAGAAATGCTCCCCTGGATGTCATCGGCATCTGCAGACAGTTCCAAAAGACAGATTAAAGGAAGGATGGAAAGTTAGACTGGATTGCACAAGGAAAAAAAAATGTCTAGAGGGAAGACTTTCGATTACTTTAATAACAGACACACACACACACACACACACACACACACACACACACACACACACACACCTCCTTTCCTGAGGACAAATAAACAAGGCACTCTGAACAATCCATTTATCCCTCTCAGCATTCTCTCAAGTGAAAAGAAAAACAAATGGATAGCAGAGTACCGCTGTCTGCACCAGCTCAACGTGAAGCCTTTAGGAGAGAATTTCCTTGTTAAAACAAATGGGCACATCCTGGAGTCAGTGGAATTTGTTTTTAATATAAAAAAGAAGCAAAAATTCCAGACCTTGACCAAAGATGAGACTGAGCTCACATATGTGATCCTATTCCCAAACCATATGTCTAGGGGCAGTGTGAAGGAGGTCTGAGGCGCTTTAGCTCAGCCCCAGGTACTCCCTACCTACCGTAAGGGTTCCCTTGGTCTGCTTTCAGCTCCAAGTCCCAGTCCTCACTGAAAAGGTCAGCAGCCTGTTCCATGGGTGGACCTTCTGACAGCTCCCAGGTATACAGCTCCTCATTGGCTTCCTTCTCCTCCACAGCAAAGCTATCCTCTTCCAAACTCGGACCCTCATTGTGGGCAGGAATGTCATCATTAGGGATGCTCTGGGCTCCACTGGCTATGAAATCAACAAAAGGAAGTTTTAAGAATTGATAAAATCAGCCGGGCGGTGGTGGCGCATGACTTTAGTCCCAACACTCCGGAGGCAGAGGCAGAGGCAGAGGCAGGTGGATCTCTGTGAGTTCGAGACCAGTCTGGCTTACAAGAGATAGTTCCAGGACAGCCTCCAAAGCCACAGAGAAACCCTGTCTTGAAAAACCAAAAAAAAAAAAAAAAAAGATAAAATTGAAGGAGTTTTATTTGTAATTTTCTGCTCACCTTCTTCTAAGAGGGAGGAAAGAAAAATCTAGACATCGCTCTTATTTACTTGAGCACTTGCAATATTTAGTTTATATTTTAGAAATGGGGTAGTCATTTTCTTCCAATAAGATGTTTGTTATAAACAAGACCACTGAGTACAGAGGGCCTTGCACAGGCAGTGTTTTCAGGTCGTTTACACGTCACTGAACCCAAAGGCCACTGGCAAATGATGTGCTTTTACTATTTAAGCCTATGTTGCACTTTCCTCCTCCTCTTTCTTCTTCTTCTTCTTCTTCTTCTTCTTCTTCTTCGTTTTTTGTTTTTTTTTTTTTTTTTGGTTTTTTGTCTACTCACATTGACAGGATTTCCTTTTGGGGTCATGAAAATATTCTACAATTAGTGGTGATAACTGTACAACACTGTCATTGGGCTGAATACCACCAGACTGTCCACTTTAATACAGCTAAGTGGTAACTTTATAGTACACATCTTTTGCCACATTTTAAGACTTTATGTGTCTTAAGTTTCTCATCAGTAAAATAGTAAGCAGGCTGTTGTAAGTTTATTTAGGGAAAAGGAGACACTGGGAACTGTGCCTGAAATACAGTGAGTATTTAGCACCTCCCAGCTGCTACAATTATACCCATCCCATGCTTGATCTACAGACTGTCACTTTCTTCCAGGACAGAACAGTACAACACATGTGTTCACTAAGCATGGTAAAAAGGGGACTGAATTTATTTATTTAATTATAATTACACAGGGGCTGGTGGCTAGTGAATTATTTATCTTCTCATGCAACCCTAAAACCAACCCTAGGGGTATCATCAGCCCACTTTACAGATATAGAAAGGCTAAGTGACTTATTTTTCACTATGGATGAAAAAAATGCAAGTCCAAGGACAATAACCTGGACCTGAAATAATTTTTCTAGTGACATACTGTGTGCTTTTCAGTGCCCCGTGTGGTTCCTCCCAGTGAAATGGGGTGGTTTGGATCCACACAAAGTCTAGAACTTCCTTGAAGCTTCCAAATGGAGGGTCCCATGGGAACAATGGGCAAAGAAGGTAGCTCATTGGCAAAGAGGACTGACTAGCAAGAAAAGGTACCCAAGACTAAGAGACTGTCAGACTGTTTTCTCTCCACCTCTTCCAGCATCCACCCCAGTCTCTGTCTACTTGCCTAGTCGGTCCATGGCCATCTCAGTCTCTGTCTCCTGACCAGAAAGGTCAGCTGCGGCAAAGCTTGCCTGTGGAAGAAGAAATCATTACCAGAAACTCAGGCATCTGGGACATGTCACCACCTTGACGCTCTGAGCCCACCATCCCACCATCCCACAGTGCCCTTCACACTTCGGGGCTTGCACCTGCTGGCTAGAGATAGCGGGGTCGTAGGCATCACCCCAACAACACTTCTCCACCCAGACCACTGAGAATGCCTTCTTGCAGTGGCCAACTGACAGCTGCAGGTTTTGATCTCATCTAGGGCCCTCTTCAGAAGTCTGGGTACCAGGGCCTCTCCATGATCAGAGACCCTAGAGCCAATCTGGACAGCTCCTGGGTCTCAGGGTTTGTAATTCCAGGTCTGTCTATAAACCCTTTCCTCTATCATTTTAACAGCTCTAACCATTCCTTTTTCTTGGCCAGGATTGGTAGCTGTTTCCTGCACCTGCCACTTCTCTGCACACCTTCCCCTTTTCAGTTACTTGGCCTCATATCTAACAGCTCCTTTTTTACATTTTATGTTCACTGGTGTTTGCCTGCATGTATGTCTGTGTGAGGATGCTGGATCCTCTGGAACTGGAGTCAAAAAGACAGCTGTGAGCTACCAGGTGGGTGCTGGGAAGAGCAGCCAGCACTCCCAACCACTGATCCATCTCTCCAGCCCCTAACAATTCCTTTTTAACAGTGTCTCCCAAGTGGTACGTGGGGAACCAGAGTTTTAGTTCCTAAACAGTGAAAGGAACACTTATATCCCCACTGCCAACCAAGTAATTTTATGCCCCATTACTTCAAAAGTCCCCCAGACTTTATTGTCCTCAATATCTCTCTCCAATGGAACCAGTTAATGTCTACAGCTTGAGTCATTAGGCCAGATTTCAACGAGCCCTGTCATGCACTCAGGGTGTGACCCCTGGAAACTGGAGGTGGTTGTTCTGACCTTGCAGAGGTCCTATGTTGACAGAACAATTATGAAAACACCTAATACAGGCTGGAGATGTAGCTCAGTTGGTAGTGTTTGCTTAGTATGCTCAGTGTCCCAGGCTGATTTTCCAGCACTACATAAGAGCAAGCATGATGTCACATACTCGTAATCTCTGCATTTGGGAAGTGGGGGCAGGAGGATATAGAAGTTCAAGGTCCTTGGTCACAGAGTGAGCTCCTGGGCTACAAGAGACCCTGTCTCCAAAACTACAATTAAAGGCAACAACAATAACAAAACCGCTGGGCGCTGGTGGCGCACGCCTTTTAATCCCAGCACTCAAGAGGCAGAGACAGGCGGATCTCTGTGAGTTCAAGGCCAGCCTGGTCTCCAAAGCGAGTGCCAGGATGGGTTCCAAAGCTACACAGAGAAATCCTGTCTTGAAAAACCAAAAAAATTAAAAAAAAAAAACGGGGAGGGGGCTACGAGAATGAGAAGGGAAGAAGAGGAAGGATGCAGAGGTCATGAGGGAGCAGAAAGGTTGAATCAGGTCAAGAAGAAAGGGTATGTGATAGGTAGGGTTTTAGTTGGGGGCGGTGGTAGGGAAGGGAGGGAGGGAGAAGGGAACTGGGATTGTCATGTAAATCAATCTTGTTTCTAATTCAAACAAAAAATGATTAAAAACAATAACAAAACCACCTGTTAGACTGCAGAAGTAATGTTTCTCTGACTTAAATTCATTTTATTTTTTAAAGTTTTTATGTATTTATATATTTACATCTATTTGCTTGTGTGTGAATGTACGAAGAGGAGGAGGTGTTGGATCCCTTGGAGAGGGAGTTGCAGGTGGCTCTGAGCCACCTATGGTGGTTGCTGGGAACCAAACCAAACTCTGTGACACCATCACCATACTAGCTCTCCAATCTTACACAAACTTTTCATCATATACCTGTACTTAGCACACACCTTAGTTAACATTCATTATCCAGTCATGACTGGATTTTTAATGATTCAATTCCACCTCCTGTGGTCAGTGATAACCCGTAGCCACAACTCACTGCTGTCCCCCAAGGTGTTGGAGCAAATGGGTGCAATACAGCCTTTTCCTATGACCCCAGAGCTTGGGCCCTAGAGCAGGCCTTTTACCGGAAGAGGTCTATGTTCAAGCAAGTCGGTGAACGTGAGAGGCAACATTACTCTATTTCTGACCTCCAGGCCTTTGGTGGGGCTCTGCCTTCTCTAACAAAATTAGTGCCCTCCTCTTCTGTAAAACTAATATTCTTTGCGAATCTATTGCTACCGTTGCTGCAAGTACCATCTTGGATGCTCAAGCAAGCATTCCATTCATGCACCCAATTAGCATACACATTGTGTCAGGCACATGGTGTGTCTTCTGGTAAACAGGACGCCTATTTACAGTCAAGCTTGTTGTAGATGGAGATGGTCGCTGCTTAAGGGCAGGTCATAGGAAACCGCTGTATTGCACCCACTTGAAAAAGAAGTTTCTGGAAACCCCGTGTCACCAGGGGCCTTTCCGTTTCATCAAATGGGAAAAAGAACCGGTGACATCTAACGTCCAAGGTCAGCTGCACATCCCCACCAACGGCCGGAGGTCCTCAAGGTTAAAAAAAAAAAAAAAAAAGTCCTAGCCGGGCGTTGGTGGCACACGCCTCTAATCCCTGCACTCGGGAGGCAGAGGCAGGCGGATCTTTGTGAGTTCGAGGCCAGCCTGGTCTCCAGAGCGAGTGCCAGGATAGACTCCAAAGCTACAGTGAAACCCTGTCTCGGAAAAAAAAAAAAAAAGTCCGTTTCCTCGTCGCTCCCATCTGACCCGGCCCCCAGCTCCACCTTCCCTCCATTCCTGCCACAGAGGCTCCCGAGCAGCCCCAGTTTCCCTCTTTCTCCTTCCAGTGCCTGCTACAA